AAGGGGGGGGTGCGGGGCTGGCTGGAGACAGGGGCTGGCTGCGGGCAGGGTGGCGAGTACTCACGGGGAGAGCGGCTCAGAGCAGCCCAAACAGCAGGCTCCAGCTCACCACTGCTCTTGCCTGAATAAAGTGAAAACTGAGTAAGGACCTCAGGATTTCCTCCATATTCAGTATAAAATATATAGACAGCTTTCATTAAGCTGAGTCTGAGCCTATGTGAGAAGAAATGAAATAGCCATTAGTCTATTGGGTTATTAACGAAGTCTATAGGAGTTGCAATAATTGTACAATTCATGTAATGATTTTTTTCCAGGGAAATTACTCTTTCCTCATCGCACCCAGACAATGGGCTACCAACCGGAGCTTTTAGTAACCCAAATTCTGTTTTCATCTTGGATGAGAGGGTACAACTTACCATGGGACTGCAGACCCAGGAGAGACATTTGTTCCTCTTCAGTGACATGCTGGTCATTGCCAAGTCCAAGTAAGAGAATGTGGGCAAGCTACACAAGGGTTATGTCTATACACCTAGTAGCCAGTGTGAGCCAGGATCAAGGGCATTTGTGGATGAGGGTACCAGGACAGCCGCATTTTTAAAGGGGCTTCTAAAATTTTGCAACTTCCCCATTCCACCCCCAGAAATGTGTTGGCCACTGCTGGGAATGTCTACCCTTAATTTATCACTGCATTTTCATAAAGCAACATGAGCTGAACTAAGTAAGTTTGCTCTTTGCTTCATGAGACTCCTTGAAGAAGTGACATGGCATTCTTGTCAGTGCTGAGGAAATCGAGTGAAAGGGGCTCCATGCAGAAGACAGAAAATTAACTCACCTTTTGGCTAGTTCTCTTCAGTTCCTACTTAGCTGATAGGTAAATAGCTTAGCTGATCTCAACAATGCTTACTTGTTTGTGGTAGTAATTTGTCTGAATCACAAAACCACCATGGTATGGCACATGGTTTGGTAAGACTGAGGCCCAGCACCGGGATACTTGAGATGTCCGTTCAGATGCATCAATGGAGATGGACAAGGAGGTCTGTACGTGTGCTATGCCTCTCTCTAGCCAGTCTCATTAGCCTAAGCAATCTCTGATTTGAATTCCAGGTCCTCCTCCAGCTTGAAGCTGAAGAAGCAGGTGCGCCTGAGTGAAGTATGGACAGGTTCTTGTCTCAATGAAGTGTCCGAGAAAAAGATGAGCCCTGAGAATTCATTTGTCATTGGCTGGCCTACCACCAACTCTGTTGTCTCCTTCAGGTATCATGGCACTGCATTGCAGTCTCGCAGCTATCACTATGCTGCATAGTTAGAACTAAATGATGACGGAGCGTCTAGAACTCTGAGCCCCTGTTCCAAAAATACAGACCCTCACTAAGTGAGCTAAAGAAGAAGAATTTCTGTTAACTATTAGCAGCCAGGGCCGGCTCCAGGCACCAGCTGAGCAAGCTGGTGCTTGGGGCGGCAGATTGTTGGAGGCGGCATTCTGCCCAATCCTAGGGCGGAAGGCCCCTTTTGTTTTGTTTTGTTTTGTTTTGTTCTTGTTCGCTCCTGCCGCCCTGTAGGGGGCGGCGGCGCGGAGAACCAGAGCGCCCTGCAGAGCAATCCTCTTCCTTCCCTCCCCCCCACCGGAGCGGAGCCCTCCCGGCAGGCGGCAGGAGGCGGCGCAACGAGAGGGGCCGCGTGGCAGCACCCCTGCTGTAGCCCTGGCCGCCCACTTCTCTCTCTCTCCCACCCGCTCCTTCCCCCTCCCCCCTCCCCCCTCCCCAGCTGGTCCCCCTGCACCCGCGCTCCAGCCCGGGTGCAGGGGGACC